CGATGTCAGCTCACTGCAACAGTTGCGTCCTGGTTTCAAGCGATTCTCCTGCCTCAGCCTCCCAAGTAGCTGGGATTTACAGGCATGTGCCACCATGCCCAACTAATTTTGTATTTTTATTAGAGATGCGGTTTCTCCTTGTTGGTCAGGCTGGTCTCAAACTACCAACCACAGGTGAACCCGCTCGCCTCAGCCTCCCAAAGTGTAGCTTTTATTTTTGAATGGAAAGCAGAAAAATGAACTGACGTTTCTTAAATTAAAACTCAGAAACCGTAACTGAGAAGCAAACCAGAAGTAAAACATTGTATTAGCTCTAAAAATAATGTAATTATTTACTTTTTTTTTTTTACTATAGCCACTTATAGTCTTACCATATTTGCTTGATTATTAAAAAGAGTAGCAATGTGACAGTGAACTACAGAGAAAACAATTTGAGATTTGTGTCCAGTTTATTGTTTAACCATTCCCTTGTGTAGATTTTGTTGTAAATTGCCATTGATTCCAGATAAGTTTTCCTCATATTAAAAACTTGGAAATGCATCATTAGTTGTTTTTCGTTTTTTAATAGAATTTTTTTTGTAGAGAGGAGATCTCCCTATGTTGCCCAGGCAACTTGAACTCCTGAGCTCAAGGGATTCACCTACCTCGGCCTCCCAAACTGCTGGCATTACAAGCATAAGCCAACCATACCCCAGTTTTTTTTTTCCTTTAGACGGAGTTTTTGCTCTGTTGCCCAGGCTGAAGTGCAATGGCACAGTCTCAGTTTACTGCAGTCTCCGCCTCCTGGGTTCAAGCAATTCTCCTGCCTCAGCCTCCCGAGTAGCTGGGATTACAGGCGCCCACCACCACACCCGGCTAATTTTTGTCTTTTTTTAGTGGAAAGGAGGTTTCAGCACGTTGGCCAAGCTGGTCTCCAGCTCTTGACCTCAGGTGATCCACCCACCTTGGCCTCCCAAAGTGCTAAGATTACAGGCATGAGCCATTGCACCCAGCCAATCCTTCCTTAATAAATATCATAGTATATATCTGCTATATAGCTGAATAGCTAAATATTAAAATCCTCATTAATTTTTTTGGAAGTCTAGAATTTCATTACATCCGAGTGTTTAGACCTGTTTCACTTTCTCCCCCACAGTGGCCATATCTTTTCTCAATACAGACTATATAGAAGTAAGCACTATTAAAATTTACTTGTTCCATACCCTAAACTTAGACAATTAAAAAATAAAAAATTTTGACCAGGCATGCTGGCTCCTACCTGTAATCCCAGCACTTTGGAAGGCTAAGGCAGGAGGATTGCTTTAGCCCAAGAGTTCAAGACCAGCCTGGACAACATAATGAGACCTTGACTTTAGAAAAGATTAAAAAACAATACCCCAGCATGGTGGTAGGCCACCTGTACTACTTAGGAGGACAAGGTGGGAGGATTGCTTGAGCCTAAGGAGTTGAGGCTGCAGTGAGCCGAAATCACACCACTGCACTCCAGCCCAGGTAACAGTGAGAAAAAAGTCTGGCCTGGCACAGTGGCTCACACCTGTAATCCCAGTTCTTTGAGAAGATTGCTTGAGCCCAGGCGTTCAAGACCAGCCTAAGCAACATAGTAAGACCCCAAATTTAAAAATTATCTGGGCGTGCTGGTACAAACCTGTAATCTTAGCTACTAGGGAGGCTAAGACAGAAGGATCACTTGAGCCCAGGAGGTTGAGGCTGCAGTGAATTATGATTGTGCTCTAGCCTGGGCATCAGAGCAAACCCCGGCCTCTAGAAAACTCTATGGCAACTGGGCACGGTGGCTCACTCCTGTAATCCCAGTACTTGGGGAGACCAAGGCGGGCAGCTCACCTGAGGTCGGGAGTTCAAGACCACCCTGACCAACATAGAGAAACCCCATCTCTACTAAAAATACAAAAAATTAGCCAGGCGTGTTGATGCACACCTGTAATTCTAGCTACTCAGGAGGCTGAGGCAGGAGAATCGCTTGAACCTGGGAGGCGGAGGTTGCAGTGAGCCGAGATTGAACCATTGCACTCCAGCCTGGGCGATAGGGTGAGACTACATCCCAAAAAAAAAAAAAGAAAGAAAACTCTGAAGCAGTCCCTCCTCCTCCCCAACACGCCCACTATTTTTTTTCTCTTTTTGGAGTATAACATGTTCTCAGAAAAGCACACAGTTTAGGAGTTTGGCCAACATCTATATCAAGACATTGAGTTTTACTAGCATGCTAGAGGCTCCCCTCCCAAAAAGAACAATACTAGACTTTTTTTCTTTTCTTCCTTTTTTTTTTTTTTATTTTTTATTTTTTTTTAAGACGGGGTTTCACCATGTTGGTGAGGCTGGTCTTGAACTCCTGACCTCAGGTGATCTGCCCCACCCGCCTTGGCCTCCAAAGTGCTTGGATTACAGGCGTGAGCCACCACACCCGGCCTCTCTTCCTTTTTTTTTTGTTTAAAAAAAAAAAAAGTTTTAATTGTTTTAGAGACAGGGTGTTGTTATGTTGCCCAGATAGGAGTGCAGTGGCTATTCACAGATGCAGCTGTAAGGCACTACAGCCTCCGACTCTTAGCCTCAAGCGATCCTCCCCCTGCCTAGTCTCCTGAGTAGCTACAGCCTAGAACCTGACATTTAAACTATAGACAAGTGTTGCCTGGCTTTGAACTTTTTTTTGGAGACAAAGTCTTTGTCACCCAGGCTGGAGTGCAATGGCACAATCTCAGCTCACTGCAACCTCCACCTCCTGGCTCAAGTGATCCTCCCTTCTCAGCCTCCCAAGTACCTGGGACTGCAGTTATGTGCCACCACACCTGGCTAATTTCTGTATACTTTGTAGAGATGGGGTCTCCCTGTGTTTTCCTGGCTTGTCTTGAACTCCTGTCTCAGCCTCCCAAAGTGCTGGAATTACAGGCATGAGCCAGCACACCCAACCAATCACCTAAGTTTTTTAAAGTTATTTTAAACTAGTTATAACAGAATATACAAACTAAGATAGCTCTTTAAAAGAGAACCTTTAGGCTGGGCATGGTGGCTCACGCCTGTAATCTTACCACTTTGGGAGGCCGAGAAGGACAGATCGCTTGAGGTCAGGAGTTTCAGACCAGCCTGGACAAAATGGCAAAACCCCATCTTTACTGAAAACATAAAAATTAACTGGGCATGGTGGCACATGCCTGCAATCCCAGCTACGTAGGAGGCTGAGGCAGGAGAATCTCTTGAACCCAGGAGGGGGAGGTTGCAGTGAGTAAGATCATGCCATTGCATTCTAGTCTGGGCAACAAAGCAAGACTGTCTCAAATAAATAAACAAATAAATAAATAAAAGGGAACCTTTAGTTTGAGGTAAACTGTATTGCTGCTTTTCAAAAAACTGTTAAGATTATTTTAAGTAACCTTTCTTTAACATTCAGTATACTGCTTATCTTATCCCAAGATTATTGCCGTTGATACACTGACATTTCCCAGTAGAACTTTACTCCGAACAGTTCAAGACAAGAAATTTCTGATCATGAGAGTTTCTTAGACAAATTATTAATTCATTTGACAAGAGTTTTTTAATTTTTTTTTTTTTTTTTTTTTTTTTTTTTTTTTTTTTTTTTTTTTTTGATTTTTTTTTTTTTTTTTTTTACCCAGGCTGGAGTGCAATGGCTCTTTTTTTTTTTTGTGAGACGGAATCTTGCTCTGTCACCCAGGCTGGAGTGCAGTGGCATGGAGTTGCAGCTTACTGCAACCTCTGCTGCCCAGGTTCAAGTGATTCTCCTGCCTTAGCCTCCTGAGACACTGGGCCTACAGCCACGCGCCACCGCGGCCAGCTAATTTTTTGTATTTTTAGCAGAGATGGGGTTTCACCATGTTGGTCGGGCTGGTCTTGAACTCCTGACCTCAAGTGATCCACCCACCTTGACCTCCCAAAGTGTTGGGATTACAGGTGTGAGCCACCATGCCCAGCCTAACAAGAGTTTTCAATAAGTATTTTTTGGTTGACTTATATTTGCCAATACCACACTAGATTTTAATAATAAAATAGTGAACAATATGGACTTTGTCCTTAGTTTATCAGTTTTTACACTCTCCGAAACACATAAAGAGTAACTACACTCCCATTAAGTCAACATCTCTGAAACAAGATGATACGATGATGTTTGGGGGTTGGGGGGGGGTCTTACTCTGTCACCCAGGAGTGAAGTGGCACGATCTTGGCTCACTGCAACCTCTGCCTCTTGGGTTCAACGGATTCTTCCTTCTCAGCCTTCTGAGTGCCTGGGACCACAGATGAAAGCCATCAGGCCCAGCTAATGTTTGTGTTTTCAGTAGAGACAGGGTTTTACCATGTTGCTCAGGGTTGGTCTCGAACTACTGAGCTCAAGTGATCTGCCCCTGTGAACCTCCCAAAAGTGCTGAGATTGCAGACATGAGCCATGGAGCCTGGCAGATGATGTATTTTTAAGCACCTCTAGAATTATTCTATATTCAACAAATGAGAAGCTGTTAAAGACCAAATATCAAAATCTTCTCTGTGATACGGTTTGGAGATGATTTTTTTTCCAAAGGAAGAAAGTATAGATGGTTAATAGTGTCTATATTGAGTCTTCACAAACAGGATTCACTGAATTGTTTAAATAGCTAGCTAAATTTGTTTTATTATAGTACTGTAAGCTTATTGTAAGTAACATCATGTCATGCTTCTGATGTTATTGAAATTCCATTATGCTAAAATACAAAGTATTTTTATTCATGGAGAACTTTCAATCAAGACAGATAAGAAAACACTTTATTTATGCCTCTTCTGCATTTTAGGAAATAAACAGCAGCACAATAATACTTACGTTGCTTAGTAAATTTTTACTGAATTGAGTAAAAAAAGAAAGGGACAAAAATGGGCTATGAAAAGTTCTATTTTGTTCAATATAAACTACACAACTTTCTAAAATCTAGACAGTTGCAATTGGAGTGATAACACCATAAAAGCACATTTTCCCCATTAAAATAATTAACACTTTTTGGTTTTAGGAATTGGAACGAGCATGGAGAGAATATGATAAGTTAGAATACGACGTGACTGTTACCAGGAACCAGATGCAAGAGCAGCTAGATCACCTTGGTGAAGTTCAGGTACAAAAGTATAATATTCTTTATATTGTTTTAACTGGTTTTTACTGGTACTGTGTAATCCACCTTGTTAGATTTATGCATACCCTTAACAGTTTTTACATTACTGGCTTCCTGAGACCTGGATTTGAATACTTTTAATGACAGCAATCTTATCATCTTACGAAGTATCCCATCCCCTCTTGTTTAAGAGTTCTTTGTTCTGTTGGGCACATGGTGAGCCCTGGAGTGTTCTGTGCTCCTAGTGGTCACAACTCTAGTTCCTAAAAACATGGCTTCATATCCTTTCACAAGTCTATCTGTGTCACTTGGTATTGAGATGTTGAATTACGGATTTATCAAATAATGGATATTTTATCTTTTCAATAAAATTATTCTAATCCATTCTGTGTTAAAAATTATATTTGGCCTGTTGTCATAACTGACATATTATTAGGAGGGGAAAATATAACACAATTTGCTATAAAGAATCTGGTTTCTAAGCAAGCAGATCTGAGACCTAGTTCCAAGGGTGAGTTTTCTTATCTATAAATTAGCAGTAATAATACTTGGCCAGGTGCAGTGGCTCACGCCTGTGGTCCCAGCACTTTCGAGGCTGAAGTGGGTGGATCACCTAAGGTCAGGAGCTGGAGACCAGCCTGGCCAACATGGCAAAACCCTGTCTC